TGAATTCACAATTGTCTGTTATTTTTTAGTGGTCAAATAATAATCTTGTTTGTGGTCGTATACATGACAAAACGCGCAAAAGCCAATGTATAAACTAAATTGTCTTTGTCAACCCAGAGGTTACCATGTGGGGGGCAGAGTGAATCTTTTGCATCTTCTGAAATAATGTATGTAATGTATGTATAAACATATGGAGTTGTATAGACTAGTATTCTGTTTTTTTTTTAATTCATTTTGATTAAAATGTTTATCTCAACTTCACAGAGTGTGAATCTGATTTTTTTTGTTTCATACCATTTCACATGCGTTTTTTCCTTCTTTTTTACCAGAGCAAGGACACGAGGACATACTGACTTCCCTGACGTGTGAGTGAGGATCCTGGTATGAATGTACTCCTGTCACTGCCCCCCTCCAGACCTCCAGGAGGGGCTGCACTGCTCTGAGGTAAATAAACAGTCACTATGTACACACATTATAATATTTGAATAGGATATTGCTGATTAAACCACACATTGTCCACATGGATAAGGGGCCACCCATGGCACTGCAGTTTGAATCCACAGGATGTACAGGAGATTTTCCCATAGACCTCAATGTTTACTAAAATGGCTCGTCCTCAGCTGTAAGGAACGTAACTCTTTCCCCAGGGCTCAAATTGTGTGGGGATTTAAGTGTCCCTTGTCACCCTGAGCATTTTATATTATAATATTATATACTTTTGTGTACCAAACTTAGCTCTCTCTTGTCCCACTCTAGCACTGCTCTGATCAGCAGCGCACGCAGATTGGTCAGAATACTCACTCTTAAGAATGACAGCAACATATATTGATTTGATTGTATTGATCACTATTGGTTCTTTGTTGCTTGAAAGTATTTTTGTTTAAGTTTTTTTAATGTGCACAATCAGACTTCTATTTAGTGTTGCAATTCAATCTTTGTGGAGAAAAATAGGCAGGCCTTCTCTGGCATGCTACATGAGACAGAGATCTGAGGGCTTTGAAGTGTCTGCTGAGGGGGATGGATGACTGTCAGTGTGTGGAGCAGGGGGAGAAGGGACAAGAGGGGTCCAGGGTCAGGGATCCACGCTGGGAGCAGATTGGGTAACAGCAGGTGTGCTCGTCTGCTTATTTTGGACACAATCTAAATTACAGTCCCCACGGAGGAAGAAAAGGTGGGCCTGACTTTCAGACAATGTCCTGAAAAGTTAGCTGGAGAGCTACTTAGAAGTGTCAGAGAGCTACAGTACTCCCTAAATTTTATTCTATATAATAACCGTTGCAAATACATGAAGAACACAGTTGTAAAATATGTATTTTTAGGCTGTAAAATGTTCACAATTTGTCTCAACTAACTATTGTAGAAATGTATAAATAATTTTTTGAACATTCTATAGGTTTTATATCAGATAATTCAATAATGACTGCAGAATAGAATGTCACATACACTTGAGGCAATATTTATATTAATGTATTTGGCCCTTAAATAACTATATTGGTTGACCCTATACTTCTTGGGTATTGGCTCTCCATCGACTTGTAAGTGGAAGGGGATATTGTAGGTGAACGGTGATATTTTTTGCAAAAACACTGCCTTATTGTGGACGTCAGCTGCAGTTCTCACTTAAAGCCTGTGGGGGTTTGTGATGGGATAAGATCAGCAGCTGTCTTCCTGTCTCAGTATCCACAGTGTCCAGAGTGTCCATTACCTTGGCCCTTTCCTTCCTTTGGTCAGTGTTCAGTCCAGCTGTCCCTGGGTCTCTGCACCACAAAGCTGCCCGGTGCCCCCTGCACAAGGTCAGGTTTCCAACCAGAGTTCCAGAGTTTGGGGACTTTTCACAAACTGTGAAGAAAAGTAATTCTAGTATCAACTGATCTGCCGGTACCAGAGGAAAACATGAAAAGTTAGACCTCTTAAATCTGTGTTATGTTATTTTTGAGTATTAGGTACCCCAGATTTAATGTGACTTTAATGTTAAGTTACTTTTCAATTACAATAATAATAATGCATCAGGTTTTTATAGCGCTTTTTTGGACACTCAAAGACGCTTTACATGTCATTATTCTTTCACTCTACATGGTGGTGGCATACTACTACTGTAGCCACAGCTGCCCTGGGGCACACTGACAGAAGCGAGGCAACCAGTATATGCCATCGGCCCCTCCGACCACCACCAACCATTCACACACACACCAGACTCATTCTAGGCAATGGGAGTGAAAGTGTCTTGCCTAAGGACACAACGGCAGTTTGGCACTTTACAGCCGCAGCCGTCCCACTGTGGCACCTGGTGTTCCAAGAGGTTAAGTGTCTTGCCAAGGACACAACGACAGCAGACATCAGTAGGAGCCGGTGGAGAAAATCTTGAGGTGGGCTCAAACGAGCTTCAGGCTCAAAGGCCAGTGCTCTTCCAACTGAGCTACTGTCGCCACAATCAAATACTGATTCTAATTACTGGGTATATGGACAACCTTTGAGTGGCCCCCTGCAGTTTCTGCTAGGGGATCCTGGACCTCTCTTTGGGAAGCACTGCATTATGGTATTGTTCATGTGAAAATTAAGCTATAGTGATGCATTAAGCAGATGATACATTTTATCTACCCATGTTGATGTAAAAGGACATAACTTAATTGCAAAGGTTATATTTTTTTTCTCATTATGTCTCTCATAGTTGATATCTACCTATAAAAGAAAATGACTTGCACAATTGGTGCCAGACTACCTTTTTGCCCCACTGCATATCTTTGTTTCAGGTATACTCCTATTTTGTCATAGCCGAAATTACATTGTACTATAAAATATGTTATGTACATTTCTTCAAAAACATACCATAAACGCTTTCCCTGCCCTTTTAGATCAAAATGATGGGAGATGATCTCACATGACGCAGATACAGGCCTGTTCCATGGCTAGTGCTTGAATACCTGTTGTGCCAAGTCATGCCGTGTGGGCATCCTTTCCGTCTGTGCCTTTTGTTTCAGTATAACTGAGTTCAGTTGGTGCATTGTGTCCGTGTGAATAGCCCCTGAGTCACTGCTCACTTGACCTTTTTCAAATGTGACGTGTGAAGGAGCCACCGTTTGTTTGTCCTCTCTGGGCCTCTGTAGTTTAGTGCGCGGACTCTACTTGTGTGAACTCCTGACGCAGACCTGTGCTGATGTCACAGGTGGTATTTCAAAATAGATGAAAATATTTTTAACTGTTGTGATTCTCTGTTATTGTTGTTGTGACGCGGATACAACTGTGAACATGTAAATTAAGGGAGAATCACAATATCATGCAGTTGTACCATTGAATGTTTTTTCTTACATTTTTTGGCTTATTCAGAACTAACTAGCTTATGATATATATTTGACATAGTTATATATTTAGTAAGTAAAATGTGTATATTTCATATTATGTGTATACAAATTAGAGCCTGATAGATAATTACTGGTTGCTCTTTAGGTGCCAATGTTGCAAAGAATTTCTATAAAGCGCCCTGCATTCTCACGATATATATATTTTTTTACATATTTTACTTTTATACGTTTCAGTTATTGATTATAGTCCTCTATCTCTTATCAAGTTTCTGTTTTGCATAACATTTTGCAAAAACCTCTAGAATTGCATTTCAGTATTTGTGGCAAGTGTCAATACAACACATTCTTTCAAGAAATGTTTTTCCATATTATTCTTATGTCTGAACGTCCTTTCTTCTGGCCAACAGACTTCTAGACTACCCTGGCTCTCGCCAGACCCTTGTAGTTCCGCCATGCTCCAAGCAGAGGCGTTTCGCTCCACGCACAAGGGTCTGGGATCAAGCGCATACCAAACTCCTTCAGTAGATCAGAAAATAATCGACCAATCAAGATTGCTGGTGTTACGTCGGGTTTGCACCGCCTTCTCACGCGTGTCACACGCGGCAGGGAAAGCAATCCAAGATGGCGGACATAAAGTCTGTGGATTTAAAAAAAAGTTTAAATACGAACTAAATAAGACACAGATGTCACTTTTAATGCAATATGAGACAAAAAACTAAAATCTGATATTTGACTGACATTGCTTTACCTGGACAGATTTTTCAGCTGCCCGCCACCGCAATGTTAAACTACAGACTTGGAAATGTCACTGGAACGCAACCTATTATTTTGTAAGCTATGTACTATATCATATCGAATTGTAGGGGATTTTTTTTTTCTTCTTTGATAAATAATTTAAAAAACTGCAATAACACAAAATATTATTCCAAAATATGTTTTTATTTGCACATAAATAATGTGACACCATCTGTTTCATTTCAGTTCTGTTATGTTCCAAAACCATTATTTTGGAATTCAATTTCATACCTGGCCCCATGGATGGTGCAGCCTGAAAGCACATAGTATCATTACTATAGCTCAAGTAGACAAGATAAAACCTATTCATTAAGAATTTTTTGTGCCTGTTAAACCTGACTCTGTTGTTGCTAATTAGTGCTCTGTGACCAAATGTCCGCTTATTTCCTACATAGAGCATATTTATTTTGCTCTATCAAATTGACTTATGTGTAAAATGTAGCTGTTGCAGTTTGTATACAGTCTTGCCCAATAGCCCGACAATTATGGGTTATTATCCAAGATATTCAGAAATTCATATCTCTGCTAGTTGCTTCATCCCCTGACTACATGTGGGTCTGTGAGTGTCCATACTTTAGTAAGTAAGTAATCTTTATTTATATATACCGCCTTTTCACTGCAGATCTGAGTTTCAAAGCGGTTTACAATTGTTAATTTTGGGCATTTGTCTCTCACTCCACACAGGGATGGGAGCAGGGTCGCCAGTACAGGAGGCGCATGCTAGAACTATTGGACATATTTTTAGTGGTAGGGGAAACCGGAGTACCCGGAGGAAACCTACGCAGACACAGGGAGAACATGTAAACTCCACTCAGAAAGGCCCTTCTTGCTGAGAGGCGAGAGTGCTATCCACTCAGCCACCGTGCCGCCCACTTTAGACTTGTTGAGTTTGGAGCCACTGCTGTGTCACTCCCAGGGGAGATGAGGAGAGAGCTTTCTACTGTCCAGCTTCAGACTGACCCCATTAGGCACAGCCACGTGCCAGCCAGGCGTCCCAGGACAAGGATGGTCGCACAAGAACTGCGATAATGACCCCAGTCTGAACACAGATTCAGATAAGAAGTTAGTTACAGTATTGCAGGTAGAGGGTTTAAACATTGTACATGGTCAACGATTATATGCATACAGCCAAATCTGATTCTGAAAGGGGACATACACCAGACTCCATCAATTTCTTCAGGTGAGTCCAGTTTAAACCTGAAGATTTGACATCCCTGACCTAAACATTTACCTTTCTAAGCTTTTGGCCATGTTATTTATTTCCTCTGCACAGAGCTGTCTTCAGAGCCATTCATGTATGTTTGTGAGTTATTTATATCCTCACATACTTTTTTAACATCCTTTCTCTGTGATGGTAACATCAGAGACAAAGAAAGGAGAGCTCTAAACATGGTGCTCCGCTCTGCAAAGAGGAATGTGAGCTGTGAGCTTCCTGTTTGTTTTATGTATGTACTTGCCTTGTGCACAATGGGGACTTTTAAAAATGTATTCTAATGTGGTTTTACTGCAAATGGCAAATAAATGAATCTGAATCTGATCAGACATATGTGTTCTACCATTGCTCTCCCCTTGGACCTCTGACTATGGCATCATGCCCCTCCCCCAGGTTTTCTCACTCACTTTCTTTGGCAATTTGTGGCAGAAGATGGCTTAAGGAGGAGCTACGCAACATTCTATAACATAGCGGACTTCTTCAGGGAATGAATTCTCGGACCGCGCGTTGGAGATTTATAACCTATGGGTGTGGTTAGCCACACCCTAATCCTGATACTAACTCATAAACAATCTACGGTCTGCTTGATGTAGAAGGGAGCAGGTCTAACGACCCTGCTGAGGCTAACGACCCTAACTCCTTAGCATGTCACAGACCTATTGTCTGCTGGGATGCTCAAGTGGAGTGCAGGTCTCACCCCTCCTAACTCATTAGCATGTCACTGACCTTGTCCCAAGTTAGGGCGTTGTTTTTAGGATGTCGTCATAGATGCGAGGCAAAACAAATCTTAACCCTCCTCCTCTGTTAAGAGAAGGTTTTTGTTTCCTCACAAAAATGGCTTCTTTCACTCCTCTCTCAAACCAATTCTTCTCCCGAGCCAGAATTTTAACCTCTGTGTCATCCACCGTGTGGTTGGAGGCCTTGAGGTGGAGATGAACAGCCGACTGTGGCCCACTAGAGTTTTCTCTACGATGTTGGTAAAGTCGTTTCTGTAGAGTTTGTTTGGTTTCTCCAATATAGTGGTCAGTGCACTCCTCTTCACTACATTTAATTGAATACACCACATTGCTCTGTTTGTGTCTGGGTGTTTTGTCTTTGGGATGCACTAATTTCTGTCTTAACGTGTTGAAAGGTTTGAAATACACAGGGATTTTGTGTTGCCTAAAGATTCTTTGTAGTTTCTCTGAAACTCCCGCCACATACGGTAAGGACACCCCTCTCCTCCTACTTTCTTCTGTCTGTTGGACTGTGTCTCTGGCCTTTCTCGTCCTTTGGGCTTTAGTAAAAGACCACTTGGGGTAGCCACATCTGGAAAGTGCTCTCTGAACATGTTTGGTTTCTCTGTTCTTTCCCTCCGAGCTTGTGGGGACCTGGTGGGCTCGGTGTTGAAGCGTTCTAATGACCCCGAGTTTATGTTGTAGCGGATGATTTGAGTCAAAGGCCAGGTACTGGTCAGTGTGAGTGGACTTTCTGAAGACCTCAGTCTCTAATTGTCCGTTCTCCAGTATGATGACCTTACAATCTAGAAAGGCGAGTTCACTCTCCTTAGCATCCTCGCGAGTGAAATTTATAAAAGGGTCCACCGAATTAATGTGTTCTGAAAATGGTTCCACTTCCTGTTTCTTTAACTTAACCCATGTATCGTCTACATATCGAAACCAATGGCTTGGCGCTGTCCCTTGGTAAGAGACAAGGGCTTGTTCCTCCAGTTTCTCCATATACAGATTGGCCACTATAGGAGAGACTGGGGAGCCCATCGCACAGCCATGAATCTGTCTAAAGAAGGTGCCTCCAAATTGGAAATACGTGGTGTTAAGACACATTTCAAGTATTTCACAGATGTGGTCAGCTGTTAGTTTCGTTCTCTCCCCTAGTGTGGCGTCTTTCTGTAGGCTTTCTCTTACAGCCTGCACCGCCTCTGTAATAGGGACCGACGTAAAAAGCGATGTCACATCAAACGAGACCATTGTCTCATCTGTGTCAAACTGGAGGTGTTTGATTTTATTTACAAATTCTTTTGTGTTTTCTATGTGATGGTGGGTGTTACCCACCAAAGGAGCCAGAATGGTTTTGAGGTGTTTAGCCAGGTTGTAGGTGATAGAGTCTATGCTACATACAATAGGCCGAAGTGGAAAGTTTTGTTTGTTTATTTTTGGGAGTCCATAAATACTGGGAATGGTGTCTCCTGGGTAAAGTTTGTAATATAGTGGTTTTTCAATAATGCCCTCTTTCACTAAGCTCTGAAGGAAGTCTATAATCTTTTTCCTAAACCCACTGGTAGGGTCCCTCTTCAATGGCTGGTACGTGTTGGTGTCTAAGAGTAACTGATTAACTTTGGCCTCATAGTCTAAGCTGTTGAGGATAACTGTGCATCTGCCTTTGTCAGCTGGTAAAATAGTTATACTCTCATCCTTTTGTAATGCCATTAATGCTTTTTGCTCATCTAATGAGACATTGGATTGTGGGGGCTTCGCACTTTTGAGTGTTGCAGAGACTCTCAGTCTGAGGGCCCCCGCCTCACTCTCAGTTAGTTTGTTGTTTCTAATGGCTGCTTCTGCTGCTGTGATGTATTCAATTGTAGGAATATCTTTTGGGGTTATTGCAAAATTTAGGCCTTTAGTAAGAACATCTTTTTCCGCTTGTGATAAATGCCGATCGGACAGATTTTTGACCCGATCGGCATTTATCACAAGTGGAAAAAGATGGCATTTATCACAAGCGGAAAAAGCGGAAAAAGATGTTCTTACTAAAGGCCTAAATTTTGCAATAACCCCAAAAGATATTCCTACAATTGAATACATCACAGCAGCAGAAGCAGCCATTAGAAACAACAAACTAACTGAGAGTGAGGCGGGGGCCCTCAGACTGAGAGTCTCTGCAACACTCAAAAGTGCGAAGCCCCCACAATCCAATGTCTCATTAGATGAGCAAAAAGCATTAATGACATTACAAAAGGATGAGAGTATAACTATTTTACCAGCTGACAAAGGCAGATGCACAGTTATCCTCAACAGCTTAGACTATGAGGCCAAAGTTAATCAGTTACTCTTAGACACCAACACGTACCAGCCATTGAAGAGGGACCCTACCAGTGGGTTTAGGAAAAAGATTATAGACTTCCTTCAGAGCTTAGTGAAAGAGGGCATTATTGAAAAACCACTATATTACAAACTTTACCCAGGAGACACCATTCCCAGTATTTATGGACTCCCAAAAATACACAAACAAAACTTTCCACTTCGGCCTATTGTATGTAGCATAGACTCTATCACCTACAACCTGGCTAAACACCTCAAAACCATTCTGGCTCCTTTGGTGGGTAACACCCACCATCACATAGAAAACACAAAAGAATTTGTAAATAAAATCAAACACCTCCAGTTTGACACAGATGAGACAATGGTCTCGTTTGATGTGACATCGCTTTTTACGTCGGTCCCTATTACAGAGGCGGTGCAGGCTGTAAGAGAAAGCCTACAGAAAGACGCCACACTAGGGGAGAGAACGAAACTAACAGCTGACCACATCTGTGAAATACTTGAAATGTGTCTTAACACCACGTATTTCCAATTTAGAGGCACCTTCTTTAGACAGATTCATGGCTGTGCGATGGGCTCCCCAGTCTCTCCTATAGTGGCCAATCTGTATATGGAGAAACTGGAGGAACAAGCCCTTGTCTCTTACCAAGGGACAGCGCCAAGCCATTGGTTTCGATATGTAGACGATACATGGGTTAAGTTAAAGAAACAGGAAGTGGAACCATTTTCAGAACACATTAATTCGGTGGACCCTTTTATAAATTTCACTCGCGAGGATGCTAAGGAGAGTGAACTTGCCTTTCTAGATTGTAAGGTCATCATACTGGAGAACGGACAATTAGAGACTGAGGTCTTCAGAAAGTCCACTCACACTGACCAGTACCTGGCCTTTGACTCAAATCATCCGCTACAACATAAACTCGGGGTCATTAGAACGCTTCAACACCGAGCCCACCAGGTCCCCACAAGCTCGGAGGGAAAGAACAGAGAAACCAAACATGTTCAGAGAGCACTTTCCAGATGTGGCTACCCCAAGTGGTCTTTTACTAAAGCCCAAAGGACGAGAAAGGCCAGAGACACAGTCCAACAGACAGAAGAAAGTAGGAGGAGAGGGGTGTCCTTACCGTATGTGGCGGGAGTTTCAGAGAAACTATGTTATGTGGAGCTGCCATTCAGACCTGTTCCAGTTCCAGGATCCACTTCCAGGATTTCCAGCCTGCATCAGGTTCCCTGCTGGGAGCCTATAAGACCACACCCTGACTCCACCCATCTCTCTCTCTGTCCTGGCAGCAGCCCTGCTCACCACCACACCTGCCTTCCCCTTTTTGGTTTTCGTTGTGTTATCTCCCTAGACTTTTGTTTCTGTTAATAAATTATATTAACTTTTAGTTGCCTGTTGTCCTTTATGTTGCACCTGTAGAGCCAGGGTGTAACATATTGGGGGCTCGTCTCTTGGTTGAACCTTGTAAGTTTTTGTTCATCCATCTCAGTTGATTCAGTTTGGGGTAAGTTTGTGTGGAAGGGCTGCTTTAGTTGTGCCAGATTAGGCTCTCCTTTTTGTTGCTGAGTGGTTAGTTGGTCTCCCTGGTTAGACTAAGGAGGGATTCTTCAATCTAAGTTTTTTTATTTTCGAGGAAATCCTGGGTGGGGAATCCGTCCCTGTCAGGGGTAAGCAAGTCAGGGCCAAGCCTGGTCACTGATGTTCTGCTTTTAAAGCCACCTCTAGCCCGGCACTCCTCAGAAGATACTCAGGCTTTAGTTCTTCTTTGGTAGGTACCAGGGAGCCAT